GCAACTTCATAATCTTCTCAAGATTATTGGTGCAGCTATAACTTAATTTTAATGTGTTTCTTTTAAATATTTTACTAAGAGGTTTACATTAAGGAAAATGTTTATCAATCAAATGGAAGAAATTCAATTCTAATTTTCTGTATGGGATTCAAATGATAATGTATATTTAAAAGAGCGTATGGGTGTATGTAAGGGTGTGCGCGCGGGTATGTAGGTATGTGTGTGTTGTTAGGTTTTTCGCATCATGGTTTGCAAAATTTTACGTTCTTACCATTTGTTTTAGATAAACATACGTTAGTTTCATTACTAATGGGTTCAATAAATGTTGAAGATCGAGTATAATGTTTTTGACATGTGATTATATTTGGCAATATTTTAATTATTATGCCCGCAAATTATTTTCTCTGTGATGAATTATGTTCTTAATTTTTTTAAGAACATAATAGTGTGTTATTAGTAAAATCAAAAGTTATGTTTAGTTTTGTTTTTTTTTGGGTTTTTTTTCCCTGAATATTACGAGAGAGTTTGAATGTCGAAACGTCAATCTCTTTTCTTAGATACTGTTTTTTATATCTCGTGATGTGTCTTCGGCATTAGTTCTTTTACATTGTAAGCCATGTTTTTGATAAGTCTTGGGCGTGCTGATAAAGATCCTAATATTAAGGATAACTAATTTATTTACATCTTTAGTTGATAGGAGTCTAAAGGGTAGGTTTATGAATTCTGTGTTTTTTTTTTTGATATTGGTGTTCTTTTTTGTGGGTTGAACCCAAAATCATACACACACACACACACACATATATATATATATATATATATATATATATATATATATATATATATATATATATATTAATCGAAAGGCAGACCACTTTATCCAACCATATATAATGGTTATTTAATGTGGTCCGTTTTTTTTAAAATATTAACTCTGGATTTTACATTGAATTCTCAGGATTTAATCCTCCTTGGGATTACCCATACGGATTACAAAGTTCTTCATAACTTAATATATATATATATATATATATATATATATATATATATATATAATCAAACAAATTCTTTTACCTCGGATGGGGATTTGGCTGTTTTGGCAGACACGAAAGTGGATGTCTATTTTTTCATATATATATATATATATATATATATATATATATACGAGTATCGGATTGGTGTATACGGAATACATTCCAATAACCAAAAAAAAATACTATTCTTAGAAGAGTGCTCAATACAGAGTAGAAATGTATTCGAAAATTAAATATAATTAACGTAAATATGTTATAAAATCACTGAAAATATAGCCATTTCGTTTCAATACTTCTGGTGTTTTAGCAAGTCATGGCGTCGAATGTAGATAAAAAGAGTTTATATATATATATATATATATATATATATATATATATATATATATATATATATATATATATATATATATCATGTTATAATTACGCGTAAAAACACGTCCCTTAATTATTTAAAATTACCTCCAAAATATACGGGTTCATCAAATATAACACTTACAAAAATTCGCCCCAAACCATGTGATGAATCGGCATTGGTAAGTAGGCTGTTATACTTGCTCCATGGGTCGTGGTAGTCTAACAACTGTCTCGAAATGGTAATTACCGATATAAATATTTCTAGTTGAAACAAATACCAATTCTCATTATAATGTAATATTTACAGTTATAAATGTAATAAGACTACTTTTACTTCTTGACTTCCCATTAAAATGCACTATTCAAGAAACGATTACACAGAAATTTGCAAGATTTTTGTTGATCAACACGCAAAAATAACCAATAACGTAAACAATTCATTCGTTCTTCATTTATAGAAATATGAGTGCATTCCCATCAAGCATTATTTCTCATGGTAGAGGTAAATAACATTTAGGATAAAATACAATTTACATTTGTAATTAAAATTCAATTATCAGCGTGATGTTAAATAACAACAAAAATGAATATAACGTGCAAACGTTATTTTTAATTAACACACATTATAAGCAATTTGTTTTCAGCCTTACGAGTCCTAAGAATGCAATCGTTATTGTTATTTTCATAAATATTCGTCTTAAAACTTTACATTATTCTATTCCTTCTGGTTTTATAACGATAAAGCTTAGCGAAACAACATTTGTAATAACACCCGCTATATATATTTATACTGGTCGGAATCATTATGCTAGGCTTAAAAGCTACTGGCGGATAAGGCTTGCCTACCCTACGTAGGTTAGTATACGTTTTCTGTCGTCTTGCACTAAGGATATTAGATGAAATCAAGAAAATTTATCGTGATTTTGCGTCTCTTCTTTTCTGGAAGCCGCCTTATGCGTTGAAATAGACTACATATATATATATATATATATATATATTGAACAATAAAAAATATTGAAAAATTAAAGAATTAAAATCGTCACAAAAACTGGGTTGTATATTAATATTCTTTCGTTTTCATTATTATTCCATTTAGATTCCTCGACTAATTTCAGTCAACATATATATATATATATATATATATATATATATATATAGATAGATAGATAGATAGATAGATAGATAATATTAGTGGAAAATATACATACATATGCAAAATATATAAATACCCATACATGTATATTTTCAGAAAAAATTTCAAGAGCAAGAATCCAGGTAGAACTCAATGTCTAGGACAGAGTAAGTATAAGCTGTTTTATTATATATATATATATATATATATATATATATATATATAGATAGATAGATAGATAGATAGATAGATAGAAAGAAAGAAACTTCGTGCAAGCACATGCATCGACGGTTCCAAGTGTTCCATCTACCCAATTCCACTCACAAGGCTTGGGACAACCTGTGATATATTTTTCAGCCACTTTCCAAAGATGGCGCACTCTGGGATCTCCATTCCAATAACATCAGGGAGTCATCTTCCTGAGATTCGAACCCAGGTCTCATGGCTAGAATGTGAACATTCTAAACATGAGACCACGTGCACATTAGTCATCGTGGCCGAGGGCTTGAGCGTGCTGGCCTTGTTCAAATTATTGATCACGCTAGATAACACGCTCTTTCTAAGAAACTGTAACGAATGTCTGCTCAGCATAGTTGCAATATAAACCACAGGTGGGCTGTGGGTGTGAAATAAACACAAATGCGCCTGAACAAGCCTCTGCAGCAGGGACTGGCTAGCTTCGTTTGTCGACGGGTATCCTCGAATACTAGTCGCAAGCTATGCATACATACATATTATGAAATGGACGAAGAATGTCCGAGAAATCTTCATAGAAAATATTCGTCCTCCGATTTCAGACCGGTAAATGCCGTTTAATACTGTTTATTATAAACAGAGCATTTACTTAAATATTTGTATCTATAAAAAGAATGTATAAACATAAAAAAAATGTCTTAAAATAATTGTCGGACTTTGTCCATTTCATAATGTGTGACGTCATTTGTTTACGTTTGATACGCCATGAGCAGATATGAATGTACGTGACAGATAGATAGACGTTTAAAACACTAAATTCGACCATACTCACCGAACGCTCCTCTGTGGCCAAATCGGTTAAAAGGCACGTCAGGCTATATGATGGTTCCGTATAGGATACAAGTTGAGAGAGAGAGAGAGAGAGACAGACAGACAGAGAAATATATATTTACATATGGATATGAACATACTTACATATATATACATATATATATATATATATATATATATAGAGAGAGAGAGAGAGAGAGACAGACAGAGAGACAGACAGACAGACAGACAGACAGACAGAGATTAATATGTCAAAAATTTTTCTTATTTATTTTGCGGATATTCAGTACTTTCCGGATTTTAAACCTTCGAATATTAATAATAATAATAATAATAATAATAATAATAATGATGATGATGATGATGATAATAATGATGATGATGATGATAATAATAATAATAATAATAATAAACACGTGAAATATTACGACCGTTTAACTTCTACCGAAAGGCGCACAATAGGTAACTGAAGCTAAAATTTCAATCGACTTATCTGGATGGCCTCTCATCATGACCAGATGTTTGATTAATCTATTTAAAACTATATCTGATGTATCAAACATCTGGTCCAGACAAGCGTTTTAATTAGGGTTTCGACGCGAAACTCTGGAGTCGGTCAACCAAATAAGTCACGCGAACCTTTCTTTTTGTATTGCATATTAAACCTTATATACATTTTTTGTTCTTCCCATGTTAAATATAACATACACTAACAACACTGTCCAGCTACACAGAGTTGGCAGACTACGTTACGAGAAAAGCTGTCTTACTCGAGATGTGCAGCTACGTCATTGGGAATGAACTCATCACATAACACAGTCTCGCACAAGTCAAATGGGGAAGATTCCCGTCCGTTTTTTAAATGTAAATATTGTGACCATAATGCTTTATCGGTGATGTCTATTCTGGGGTCGTAGAAAGTTTCGCACCTCCATAGTATCAGACATTCACTACGATTTCTTGCCTAGCATAGCTTCCGCATGATTGCAAGAGATTTAATCAATTTTAGCACCTATGCAAATGATATACTTTTATTCAATCCAATGTAGTAGAATTTCTAACCAATCGGGAGATGTTTAATATTTTCTTCTGAGTAATGTTTTTTTTTCTTAGCCAATCAGATGAGCGGATTCCATTTTGCCTTTAACCGTTGTTCTAAGTACTCATTCAGAATAGCAGTTATCATTTGTAACAAAATAATTCTTTTTTTAAAACATTACAAAAATTGCACACGACTCTAAGTGGTTAATCATTATATTGCATTATTCCTATCTAATGTGCTACTGATATTTTTTGTTAAATTAAAACATTAAATCTTTATTTCATTTCCGAGAAACTTGCCCGGATATTACGTCCATATTCTTGTGTTCTATGGAGATTCCAAACCTGATTGACTCAGGCAGATTTTTTGACTTTTCTCGATGACGTTGGTGAATTTGGTGGCGTCGAAGGTGAAC